AGTTGTAGGCCAAAAGACCTGGAGGACTATCAATTTTGATCCCCTGACCTAATCTGATGAAGAGATCTGAATAAAGCTTGTACACTCTTTTGTGAAATTTTGGTTGGTCCTAAAAGAATTTATTCAAGTGTGGGTTACAAAATATGGCTTATGGAAGTTTTGATAAACAGTAGTGAAACTACTGACTCCACCCAGATTATCCACACAGTACAGACAATATGCTGTCAATCAACTACATTTAGATTGCATGGATAATCTTATATGCATGCAGGTAAAATCCATTAAAATGACAACAGGAAATAATGTTTTGGCGTATCTAATAGTACTTGTATAAAAGTAAAATACCCTGTATTTTATCCTTAAGGCTGGTGAAAATAAAACATGCAAGTTCACAGAAATTCCCTCTGAAAGGACCATCATAAATGGAAGATTTCATATTAGTGTTCTCACACCCATATATGATTTTACTCCAGAATACTTCCTCAATACAATCTCAGTATAAAAACTAAAAGTCCAAACATAGTCTCTTAAAAACACAAATGACACAATTTATAAATTCTATATGGTGATACAGTAAATTAATATAATCATTAGAGGTAAATAATTACAGAATTTAAAGAATACTTTTTAGCAGCTATATAGATTAAACCACACTAAATAGGGGATTTAAACCAGTTGAGAAGCTAAGAAATATTTCTACACTTGACAGGTTGGATTATTATTATGGAACATTAGTAAGTTGTTCTATCTTTTTAAACACAATTTGTCTTGCTGAAGTATCATAACTGATAATTAAACTTTAATATCTGCTCATAGATTATTGCATAATCATGTAAATATGTTCACCATACTAAGGCAAACAAACAGATGATGTGCATCTATAATTACAGAACTATAAATCATGTCTGAACTGAGTAATAAATAATGGCTATGCAAACTGGAAAAGTACTGCAGAGCAGTTTAATTGCTAGGATACATAGGGTGGGTTGAGAAAAGAATATAGTTGTTCATTTTAGATGCTCAGTCAGAGACTGGTTTGCACAATACAACAATGCATCATGGGCTGCTTTCCACAATGGACTGTGGTGGGGTGTAAACCCAGACTGATTTCCCTGGGGCAGCTTGTTCATGGGCAACAAGCTACCCTGACAACCCATGGATTGCACCCACGA